CATTGGATCGCAGAGAGACACGGGATTGGCTGAGACCAGGTGGTCCAACATGTCTGCGCCCTAATCCGACGCCACACCACTCCACACCACATAATTAGGCTCTCATGAGGAGTTCTAAGAAGAGTGAGTTCCGTTCCAATAAAATTTTGGTTGCTGTTCACATTTCTGACTACTAGATTTTGTAAATTGTGGAGATATAGAGATTTGTGTCTTAACTCTGCATCGTACTCTCTGTCTAACTTGTCAACTCTTTTTAGTTTTATGGAACACGCGATGGCCCCCTGGCGTCTTTAATGACTAAGCTGCCTAGATAATGTTTATACGAGTTTCAGCTTTATTTCTGATGACCTCCTTTGATTTTTTTTATCTAATCTCACAACGTCTTAAACTCATCGAATTTTAACTTGTCCTTCGTAGTTGCCAAAGCTCATACTTGATTTTAACAGATGAATGGAAAATTCATTTTTGGACTCGCCTAAGTTTCTTTTACTATCGCATTATTAACTGACACTTTCGAAGTGCTTCGGGAGTCAAAGCCCCTTCAAAAAAGCGCATGTAAACCAAGTTGTACGCATGGTGTGTGTTCAAAATGCATGCTGCATATATGGCATTTTGTCATATTAGGCTCAATGATTTCACTAAAGGAGTATTGGAAGTACAATAAACATTCGAGGCATTTACTTGGATCATCTCCTGCTTCTTGAATATTTTAACGTGGTTAAGTCTATTTCACAACGGTAACTTCACTTCAAACATCAAACATTAGCTCTGGATAACAATCAATAGATTACTACTGAAGAGGTTGTTGACAATCTAAATGTTTAAACATTTGCTACATTTCATCATTTAAAGCAACTTGGACACGTTTTTAAACTCGATTCACGAGATCCGCGCATTTTGGTCTTCTACGCTTGCAATTTCTTGCAACCTGTTTGGGAGAATATTTATGGGCATCTACTTTTAGACCTTCTAGTATGTCTAATTTTTTTTCAAAGCTTAGTAGACTCCTGATTTGAACACACATCATTATCTTCCTTGGCAGCCAATAATCACTGCCACATTACCTTCTGTGTAAATGACTTCAATGTCTAGAACCCTTTTCAGCTTTTCGTGAAAGTGTCTTATCCTTGTTAGTTTACATTTTTTTACGTTTGGAGCTATGCAAGCGTAGCATATTTAGATCATACCTTTTAACTATGAATGATAGTATTAACTGAATTAGTATTGTACTCCACTTTAAAGATTGATAAATCACCGTATGTAGAAACCCATCTAATTTTTTATTTGACCATTAGTCTAAGTATCTCTTTTTCCAGTCCATGCACTTCCGTACGCAAAATTTATTATGTAATTTTTAGACCAGCCACCCACGAGTGGTTTGATTTCCTTGAGTGGAGCAAAACCGAAACGGCTATCTGTCGATTCCCCACGGGGTGGACCACCCCAAAAGAAATTACGATCTGAAAATCAGGGTAATGCTTTTCATTTAAACTCCCGTAAACTTACACGGGTGCTTAAACGAGCTTTTTTAATGATATAGTTTGAGTTGGATTATGGTACAACTTTGCATTTGTAGCTGAACTAATATCAAAAATCAAACTTAGTAATTGTGCCTCAACGGTGTGTGGGCAACCAAGTCTCACTTTTAACAGACTAGTATCATAATTATTTATCACATTATTCTGGTAATGACTCACACTAGTCTCATTGGTAAAGTATGACCGCTTTTTTGCCGAAACTCGATTTATATCACTGTATTTACCTCCTAGACTATGGTTTTCATAGTGGCATCATCTAAATGTTATCTCCTTATATTAGTCTCATGCATGTCACTTATAGTTTTAATTTCTTGTCCACTGGCCCGCGCACATTTATTTGTCTTTTTTGAGTTAATTTTTCGTCGAGACTCAACGCTTTGATAAACGTAACGGTTGTCAACGTTGTTAGATTGCCCTTAATGAACCACTTTTGTTCCCCTCTAAGTCGGCCATACATTTTGTCCTGATTTCAGTACCTTATTGTTTTAGTGCCATCTTCTGAATTCGTAAGTCGTGTGGAGTCTCTGTTGGCGAGTGGAAATCTGCCCGAGGCAGAGGCACTTATCGTCGCCGTGTTGAACCAGATCCGGGAAAATATAATATCAACACCTTCTGTAGGGACAAGTGGAAGTCTGGGGTTACCTCGTCCATCAGGACACGCTCACTCTTCATCTCGTCTGCCACCGGCCTACTCGCTTGGTTTGTTGGTCATAGCTAAGCACCAGAACGCTCCTGGTGTGTTCTCAAGGGTACCTGTACTTGAACAGTTGTGTACACTACTCTCTTGGAGTCTGCGAGAAAATAGTATCAATCGCTTACCCTCTGCAGTTATGACTAACGTAACAGCGAAGTTTAGAGGGTTACATGTACGCGTCCACATTCCTATCTTCCCTTTCGTCATCTTCGTTACCCCTTATACTGGCTCTTTCTTTAGGCTTTTGTTGCTAACCTGTTAATGGTTGCCCTTAGTGATCAAACGAAGTGGCCTACGAAATTGGTTAAGGTAAAGTTTCCTCAACTTTGGCATCAAGCGTTATTTTAACCCTACAACCTTGTTTTTATTCTGTTACCTCATACTGTCTTGATTTGGTTGTTCATCGCAGTCATACTTGGAAGACAGTTTGTCTGACCGTGTTTGGGTTGATCTTGACGAGTGCAAGGCTTTTGTACTCAATCTCGAAACTGCGTTTCCCCCTGTGGTTGGCGACCCCCGCAGTCTCTTTGCTGTCCTCTGTAGCAGTAGCCAGCTCTCTGCAGGCGTACAAGCCGCCCTCGGTCTCACCACGACCGGTACTAGTCTTCACCAGCCGACGTCGGTCGAGTTACCTCAAAATACCGAGTCTACGGTCGCCACTGATTTAACTGATGCCGTCTCGGCGGCTCTGCAGGCGGCTCACCTTTTGCACCCAGCAAAGGTAATTTAAAGAAAATTCAATCCCATCGTTATATATTTGGTGGGCCATTGACTAAACCTGTTATGGGAATGACTGTAGATAGTCCATACAACCTTGTAAACCAACTTCAATTATGTAAAAAGGTTTGATATATTCCTAGCCACTTTCAGGAGCAATTACTGTTTTTCGATGTAGGTGATTATCGGTTTTAGAATCTCGTTTTTTGTGAAGGTGCTGCGCTTTCATGTAAATTACGTAAACTTCACAGACATGGTAAATGCAACGTGTGGTAAATAATGGACCATGGTAGCGCCTACCCTTCAGTTGCAATCAGTTCTAATCCGTTGTCCACGTCTGAAGGGTATCAAATTATCCATGCCAATTAGCTTTGTTTGAATTTCCAGATTATACATGGAGGTGATCCATCTCGAATGGTCTCGAACAGATTTGAGTCTGGTCGGGCTGCAGTGGATGTGATTATCCTTAATACTCTTCGCGAAGCCCTTTCACGTCGAGGAACGGTCTCAACTAACCTGGGACTTTCTGCGACTCCAGCAGAGACAAGCTCAGGAAGTGGCGCCAGTGGCGTTTCACTCCCCTCCACCGGCGAGGTCGTGTACACTCGCTGTTTAATCCGCACACTGGCAATGACTTCTGGTCTCGCCGAAGTGCGGTCACTAAGCGCACAACGCTTGGAACCATGGCTCACTGTAAGGGCGGCCACCGCTACTTATTCCTAAGTGAATCGTCTCTCAAATAGACCAAAAGCGTGCACGCACAATGCACAAAATCAAAATGTTCATATTCAGTAGTCAGTTTTTTGCAGCAAGAGTGAGATCTCACCATTTCATTTGCCCTTTGGTGTGAATGGCTAATAACCGAACTTATTACTAGATATTTTAGCTAGGTCTTCTGACAACAACTGGGTTATCGTTGAACGCTGATGTAGCTGCGATTTTCTTCCTCTTAGAATCCGAAGCTGCAAATCATGGCCTCTGGCTTGCTTACTATATTGGCTCTCAATTGTAAACAAGGAATGGCCTCTCCATTTGACATCGACGTCATGATCACTCTGATATTTCGTATTCGTTTGAAGCTGCTCAAGGTCAACATTCAGGTGCGCTTTCTCTTTACTCCTGCTACTACTAATGTGCAAGTAATAGTGTATTCGTTTTGCGTCTCTTTTAAGTAGTCATCAGTACTAGAGAGCGTTTGTCGCCTGGTCTGCTCAAATCCAAGTAACTTGTCGTCTTTGATCAAATTGTGCTTGGCGAGTGAGCTTCCAACAATATCGGCCATTAGTGAGTCCTACGAACAGGCCGCCAAGCATGCGGAAAAACAGCCGCAGCCTCAATTGCCAAGCCTAGCAGCGCACTCCTCCGTCGCTCCATCACCTATCAGTTCACCTTCAGCAAAGTGTTTGGCCGCGACTGTTAGATCAATGTGTTCCCAATCGGGTGAGCGTAAGAGGCAGTTTTTACTTGGAGAGCCTTGTTTTAATTCACCTAGGCTGCCATTGTAGGTATGTCTGGTGAATTACCGTCTTCACGACCGTTGTATCACAAGTGTCTACAACTTCTGTTATATCTATCACTTCGAGAACAATTATACTACACAGCGCTTTCCCCGAAGAAAATGAAAATGCCTCACCCGTTAACCTTATCTCATCTTTTTGGGTCGCGTCAGGAGCTTCTAGATAAAAAGTGCTTATTTTGTGAACATTGTACATCATCCGTTTCTACTGCCTCAGATTCTTCTCTTTACTTGATTTGGTTCCATTCATAATTTTTTTTACCAACTCCTGCCATTGACTTCCTATTTGCTCCATTTTATATGTTACTAAAATCCTTCGTGAAGGATACGTCGTTTTGTCGTTGTGCTGTATATAGCCGGAGCAACTATATTTCAACCAGGTTTTCCAATGCTTTCATCGGATTTTTCCGCGGTTACCCAGTTGGAATTTATAACTCCTTTTGTTGTAGACGCTAATGACCCGTCCTTGTCTTCAAATACGCACTCGAATCTCATATCCGCGAACGCCAATTTGGTCGCTGTCGGAGCAGCTGAGGCCGTCGCCAAAGGCCACACAGCCGTGCCCTTTATCCTGCCCAAACTGTATCAAAGATTTCCTGTTCAGTGGGCCAAGGTTAGAAGCACTCCTCCTGATAATCTACGTTGTTTGCTTGATTCCTTTCTAATTAATTTGCTTTAGTTAGTTTGATACTGTCTATTTGTCTTGCATACAATAAATCGGTGTGCGCTACTAATGTGCATGTGTAGCATTATCTGCTGCCTTAATTTACCCGCTGATTATTCTCTATGACTTTCATCTCGTGTATCTCTGCGTCAAAGTCCTTCCTTTTCTTAAATGTTGTGCTTTTGCATGTGTGGTAAGGCTTTCGCTCACTTTAAACGTCGTGTCTTCAAGTCCCTTGCTAGGAAAGCAAAAAAGGTCTAAAAGCAGGCCACAAAATGAGAGGATTTTGGTTCGTTTAATACGACTTTACAGACAACATTTTCATGCTACTTATTTGTAAGTCAACGTCCTTAATAAGGTAGTGTGGTAGTGGTGACTATTTGTAGGCGCTATTGCTAAGATTTTTTTCCTAGTAGGGTTTGTCCGCTATGTTTAGATTGTGGCAGAAGTTATTCACGATAGGATAATCGAGGCCGTCACTTGCGCTGGCGCCATGTTACCAGTGGTTGCTGGAGGTCTCCCAGCTCATCCCACAGACTCCCAACTAGTTGCGCATATCGTGCGTCTCTTTGCTCCAACGCGTCAGCTGCTTCGTGAGCTCTCGAAGTGGATGAAAATGACTGCCTCAGCCCCACAATCACCTCCTGATTTCCTCCCTTGTTCTGAGCTTGGATTCGGACTGCTTCTGCTGGACCGCAGTTCTTATCCAGCCTTCCCTGAGTCGGCTGCTTCGGTCGCTCAACGACTTCTTAGCTCATGTGGCAGTCAGAACTTTGGTCCCTTCACCATACTGAAGTATATTTACGCAGTGGTTCACGTAATTTGTCAGCTACAGTTACTATCAGTGACGCGACCCAATCTCTGCGATGCACCTGCTGCTCGAAAGAAGCGTACGTTTTATGGCATGTATTTCTAATGTTTCCTTTACTTCAAGAGTTCGTTGTTCTGCCCACGAAATTTCTGGTGCTGGGACGGAGTTGTGGAACTTAAAAGAGTACAGTTGCCCAACGGTGCGTTAATGGTCGTTATATTTTGCAGGAACCTTCCCGCCACAGATGTTTGCAGTAGACTTGACAGAATATCAGTCTGGGTTTGCGACCGAAATTATATTTAATATTTGTTAAGTGGGCGTTAGCCTCTAGGTTATGAATGTGGTATCATGTGACTCCGAACGGCCTATTTTGATTTTTGACATTGTATTCTCGGATTGTGTGTGTGTAGTCTAAAACCCGCCGAAGCATAAGTAAAAATAGAACTGAAATGGAGCAATACGTCTTCTTGAACTAATAAAGGGCAATTCCGGATATTTAAAAAAAGTTGTAATGCATTTATAAATCACTATGTGGCAAACGATTATGCTAATAATCTAGGCATCCAAAGTAGATGTGGAAATTTTCGACTAATATTTTTTCATGTATTGTTCAGCCTTAAGGCAATAATTTGCTTGACACTCCAGAGGCATTTATATTGTTGGCCAAAGTTATTCCATAACTGCTGAAAGCACTGTAAGTGTCCACCATTGTTCGTATTTATCTCCGCCGGTTAAAATATACAGTATACCACTTAGCTGTTACGTTGATAAGAGTGATCAAGACTAGGCAACCATCTACGAGGACCGTGAAAACTGAGATTTGCAAAATCTCAATCTTGCTGCTGTTCCACTTTTGTAAATCCGATGAACTTTTTCATCGAATGCAGTTGTCGGAAGCTCGGACGCTGTGAAGCAGCATCAGGCTTGCGTGCGCCAATTGCGCCTCAACTTCCTTCGCTGGTTCAAGTCATTTGTACCGCATCTCATCTCATCGGCGGCCTCGCACTTCCCTGCAAATGCACCGCGTGACGCCTTCGCAGACATTTCCCTTTTGTTACGTCGTGCTTTCTTCCTTGAGGTGGCCGCACCCTTTGATGATAGTGTTAGTAGCGGTAACTTCTCAGCTTTCTACGCCGCTGAAGAGCTCTGGCCCGCGGAGCAGAATCAGAGGTAAGGCTGCCGTGGTCGGTCTTTTGACACTTCTGTGTTCATTTACGTTGGCGATAATGCTCATTCGTTTTTAAATTTATAATTTCTTTTGCTTGATTGTCGAAAGGGTACATAGGGCTTGGAATTGGGGCATCTTACTGGCCAGAAGTACTTCTTTTTACATATTCTAAATTATCGGTTTACCATAGATTCTTGTTCTACCTTCTAGACCCTTTATCTGTCACTTAACTTATGTGAACCTCCCGGAAAAGTTAGCTATCCATGTTCTTCGCTATGGCTTGGAATCTCAGTGGGGCCTTGTCAGTCCGTCTGACGTAGCTGACATTGTTTGTGAATTGATTTGGCGCTCCACAGCACTCTCCATTGACAACGGTAACATCCTGCACTTCACTCTTTTAATTCTCTTTCTGTCTTTGTACTCATCACACAACAGCACAGTCTCTCATTTGTGTTATTCTTAATTGGAACATTTTCAGTAGATTTTGCATGCTAATAAAACATGAAGTTTGAAATGTTTTCCAGGGTAAACATGTTAGTCGAATAGGTAAGCCTTTTGGAATGTACCTTTAAATTTAACGCTTATACCCCCTTTGGAGGCCGTTACTTTGTGTGTCGACATCTCTCTCTACTTAGTTTAGCTAATGGTTTGGACTTCGTCGATAGTCCACTGCACACAACCGCCCAACATACTCCCAATGTGTGTTATATTGATGTCTTGAACATTCGTTTTTCTCCCTCCAGGATATGAGTCGTCGAATTTCACGAAACTTGAGGATATGATAGATCTTCTCTATGCCTGCTGTGCCTATTGCACTGACCGCGAAGTTCCAAGGTAATGTGTATTTGTCCCTTTTTCACCGTTTCTATTCCACAGTGAATTGACGGAATTGGGGTTCAAGGAGTCGTACTGGAAGGTCTCTCTTGCACTTGTTGCTCTGGCGGCTCATTCTCCGAAAACATGTGGTTAGTTAAAGGTCTTCCTGACGTTTTCTTGCTCTCAAGTGCACTGAGTTTCGGTTCGGCTCCGGGTATCGAGTTTTGTAGCAAGTTCATGTGCCGTCAATGATAAATAAAACCCACTGCAGAAAATTCCCTAACTTACTACAGGGTTAGGTTATGGAACGGATGAGTTCTGTACATGATTGCGATTTGGATTGGGGAGGAGAGGATGCACTATGTGCAAAACTGAGACTTTTCTACCTTAATGGTTTGATATTTCGAATCCTGACCCTGACATCATTTTTAAAGAAAACTGGATCTCGTCTATGAAGAAATAATCTTTTCTCCTTCTTGTAATAACGTTTTTTTATTGGGAATAGTGTGCTGCAAACGTCAATCAATTAGCCATAGCAAATTGGTGTATCAGGTTGGGACAAAAGTAATATCGGTTTTTATTGTAAATGTCTTAGATTATATTGATTGAAATGTTAGATCCCATTATGGTTTCAGACGTCACATTAACCATGTTCATGGGTAAATATAACCGCAACCATGGCTTTATTTAAATTGAAACCCAAGCGGCCATTGCCTCTGCACCAACCCGATTCCATTCTGTTGGATAATATTTATGTTACTTATTTCTCACTTTGGTTACTGTGCTGATGTTTTCTATGGAATTCAGTGGGTAACCAACTTTTTAATCTCTTGATTACCAAGGCGCACATCTCTGGATTAACTACCCAACTGTTCGGATGTTAATGGAGATGGTGATTACGAAGTGAGCCAGTGTTTGTCCTTTGGTTGCTCCTTCTCTCCCAGGCAGTAATTTATTCACTATTTCTATTTTTAGTAACTTCACCTACCCCCCTTTGAATGCCGCTGTGGACACAACATCAGTGGAGTCTGAGCGCCTTGTAAGTCCTCTTTTACTCGCATTGTTCTGGACAGAGCCAATTCCCTAGACCAATTTTTCATATGCACTTGGTAAAATGGCAGACTCGCATGTTTTGGTCTCCTGGTGTAGTCATCGTGGGGTTTGAGTTTGAGGTCTTAGTGGAACGTTTAATTTACCTTCACAGAACAAAGAACTGGAGACTCAAATGATTTTACGACTAGAGTCATATCTTTCTGGACCATCAGCTGAAGTTAAGCGCAGTTCTGATGAGGAGCTCAAAACAGGAGACATAATGAAACGGGAAAAGGTTGAGGTAGTCGATCACCAGTTACCCATAATAACTCCAACGGAGTCGAAGATGATTGGCCAATTGGTACGAAACAACCCTCGAGGTGCTTGTAGGTGCCCTCCAGATGATCAGATCGCAACTCTAAAGCGTCTTTGTGAACAACTTGGACTTCGCCGACGTTTATGCTCGTGCAGGCAACCCGATCTACTACTGGAATTAATCTCCTCTCAAGGTAATAAGTCTTCCTCCTGTGTTTGTAATTAAGTCACGTAAATCAGGAATGCCTATGCTTGGGTGCTTATACCAAGTCGCATCTGTGGTCGCTCAACCAAGGGTTCCCGTATTTTACTTGTTAAATCCTTATACCGTACTAAGCAGTAGGAAAGGTGAACCGTTGTTTTGCATAAATTGGAGGAAAAGTGACGCCGTTTGTTTGACTAGTTATCTCTTTACGTCTCCTCTCAGGTTCAGGCCTTCCCCAACCCTGGGTCATTCAACTCGTTGAGTCGATGTGGCAGAATATTGATACCCTGCCACTTCAGTGCTTGGCAGAGTACCTACTTTACTCGAGCATCCAGCGTGTCCAGGTTGCCGATGAGAAGGCCTTTACTAGTGGCCTGTCAGTCGATACACCCTTCTCTGTGGTTTCACGAAGGTCCAGGAAACAGAGCACCTCCTCCACCGATGCTAACCACGAAATAACGATCGATCTCGAAAATGTTGGCCCTGAAGGTATCTTTGAAGAGGGTTTATGACTTTTATGTATTTTTTTCCCGACTTTTTGCATTATTTCAGTCCGCTCTCTATGTAGAAAATTCAAGCATTAGTCAAGAAGGCGTTAATGCATAGGACTAACTGTATCCAATTGTTAAAGGCCAATATTGTTTTTAGTAATAAAGAACTGGTGATTGCATCCACGAGTGAAGGCAGACCAAGCACGTTTGTGTGTTATGCAGGAGGGGACCTTAAAGTACAGCATGCCTCTCTAAGTGATGTGAAATATAAGCTTGTATTACTATTTATACGTGCATTCATGATACGTTCCCTATAGTAATACAGCTCATTTCACAGTATTTCCTTATTCAACGAAATCATTAATTTCGTTCACTTTTAAATGCCAACAGAAAACCTTAGGTGTCAATAGATTTGTGAAGTTCGTGGTACACCACTCATTTGCTGTCTCACAATACAGATGACACCCGAATGTGATCCAGCGTCTAATGCTATCTTGCCTCATGAAACCAGAAACTGAATAACCTTGGGGGCTGTGCTCTGTAAAACTCATTCACCGTAAATTTATTTCGCTTTGTTGTGTTGTTGAAGTCTCGCATCACAATGCTCCTTGTTATGTTACTCATGCTAGTTGTATGTTAACAGAACTTCTGGGGTCATCATCACACGTGAATAAATTGATTAATTTCTGTGCTTAATGGAGCAATCTTTTTCAGGTCCTGTACCACCACGTCGTGTGCGCCTGGATAGTTCAGCTAGCGTCACTCATGCTCCTGAGAAGTCGTCGTCAGGAGCCGGTCAGACTGATTTCAATCGCCGTCGTCTGCACAGTCGCATTTTGGAGCGCTTAAGAGGGCAGGCCCGAGGTCCACCAGCTGCTGCCACCGTCACAGCCACCTCGTCCCCGGCGCCAGTGACCGGGACCGAGTCACAGGACTCGGTTTTGCATCATCAGCTGGTCGACAACGTAGCCAAGGCGATGCTTCAGTCCTTTGCCTTTCGTCTTAAGGATTCGTCCTCTCTAGTTAGACGTGCTGCTCGCTTCGTAGGTGGCCTTTGGCACTGTGATTCATTTTTCCTTCTATTGTCATCATGGAGGCCATTTAAATAACTCTCCTTCACGTTGTTTGCATTAACTGTTTTAGCCGGTCTTATGCTAGTTTCCGCAAAACCTCCTCCGTTTTCATCGTCATTCTTCATAAAGGAAATATATACCTTATCTGCTTTAATGCTAATTAACAACATTGATTTTAAGATTTTATCGTTATATGTTTAAACTTAAAATTTACAATTTTTAAAAATTCGGTAACAATGCAGTATCGGAATTCTCGTCTCAATAGCTAGTACTTATATTATTTAATTATAATTTTTTTTCCGGTGCCTACAAAATTGCAGTCATTTATCGATTGCGGGTAGTTGAATCCTTGTGGCATTTTTTTAAATATTCATGTGCACGAATGAATGCCTGGTGTTTTTAAGTGCTGCAATGTAGTAGCAATGCTGCTTTCGGTGGTGATATCGTTAGCAAAGACTGTCGAGAAGGTGTTCACCGCAGCCTATAGTGACGAATATGGGTTAAGTTATTAGGCCCCGTATCAAACCACATAATTTCTTTGTGGGCACCTTTGAAGATACCCTCATTCCTCACTGTCAAAGTCCTATTTTTTATTACTAAAATGTTATGCCCAATGGGTCAGTGGGCCTTACTTTGGCCTTAATGTGCTTGATTTATACTTTCACTAATAATTGTCACTCCCTTCGCCTTTTACAATCTTATACAATACCAGGATTGGCTCAGTGGCAAGCAACTATTGCTTTTAGTGCTTAACATTCCTGGCAGTTGAGGATGTTGCTTCGACCAGCATAAAGCAGCCTGCGCCAGGTCAGTTGACGCAGCCCGTGGAAGAACTGCTCTCTGTACTGCAGTCCCTTGTTAGCCTTCCGGGCCTCTCTGTTGCTGTTGATAAGCAGCAGATGCAGCCCCTGGACCCTGGTGACCCAGCCTCCATCGACTTTCTAGACCTCGTTTTGGAGGCTATTCTGGTCGAGGATGACATCGCTTCCCTCATAGCCTACATAATTTTCTTGGGACAACTAACAGAGAACTCTCTTGTGGTAAGATCTTTTTCGCCACAAAGTGTACTCGCGCACTATTTGTTATGGTGTACCTGTCAACATTACCACCGGTTTTTGTTTCTGTTAAATAAGGAGGGTGGCGTGAACTGTGTGGAAATCATAAAGTTTATTCACAAATCTGTGGTCGAAAGTGTTATCGTTCTCTTTCTAGGCCTGGCGCCCATCTATTGGCTGTCTCAGTCAACTTATTTTGAACCGGAAGGCTCTTGTACAGTGTCTCTTTTCATTGACTGATTTGATGGACATCCAGCCGCCAATGCCCCCTCACCAAAGCAATTCATCACACCGCGACGACCAGGAAGCAAACATACGAAAAAGCGCAGGTTTCATCGTTTTAGAGAACATTTCTCGTATCCTGGCTCTCGACGTAGATTATTACTGTACTTCAGCTAATGTCATTCCTGTGAACGAGAAAAACGTATGCTTACTTGTTAAAATGCTTTTTTAAATGTCACTGGTACATGGGCCAAATGTATAATCACGAAACGCTCAATTGTTAGCCACGCAGCGCGAAATGCTCACCCGATTCTCCCAACGGTGGTTATTTTTAGGTGTTTACTCTTAGAACTTATTCCGCATATTTTGCAATTGCTTCGAAATTTTGATGCGACACGTAGACTTAGGTGCAGTGTTTTGTTAAATAAACCCATTATCTATTTTTTATTTTCATTACTTGTCTCAATTTTCTCAAGGGCTAGCTTTGTGCGTTCAAAAGCGTAATTCGACATCTAGTTACTATTTTTTATGCCATTTCGAGTTATAGAATAACCCTTTTTGCATTTGTATGAGGTAGGTATCATAAACCGCCCATTAGAAATACACAATTTTTGCTACACAGCAATGCCTAATCCTGTTTTTTGCATCCACACCATCTAGAGTGTTTTTGTAGCCTGGTCACCAAGCCGTCAGTGTCCAATGGAACTGGAAGTTATCGAATCTCATCTTGTCCTGCTATCGCGTATCCCTAAGCGTTTCACTGGAGGAAGCTGCAGTTCTTGGTGGGGCCACCTTCTTGATATTTGGTTCGTTTATAATGCAGATGGAGTAGCAACTCTACCGGACATGGTTTCCCTCACTTCCTCGTCTTCTGCTGAGCCTTTGCACACAAAACGTGGGCTCGTCAGTCTAACGGTTGACAACAAACTTTCATTGTCTGCTGAATTGAAGGCTGCCTTTGTCACTAGCGGATTGCCTCAGCTAATCTCCACAGGTAACTGATGTCTTTTACAACCTCTACCCATCAGGTATGCAGGGTGTTTGGGCCTGTTCATGCTTTGGTGAAAACACTCGTATTTGCTTCTTTTTCAGCGCTATCAGACACACATCCTGATGAGTTACTCCAGATTATTTGTACCATTCCACCGATGCTTCTTGACGCCAATATTGCTACGCGTCTTGTTGACTTGGCCAACGAACTGCATGTGATACCCTCAACACCAAAACAGACCATTTTGGTGGAAGCTCTCAGAAAACGTGCCAGACAGGTTTGTACAGCCACTTTTCATAGTTTACATGTTTTTTTATGTCAAATTAGACCACACATTAGAAAAATGGCCGTGCTATTACTTATTTATTGCTGTTTTTGGGTAGCTGTAAATTTTAAGTGAAAGGTTGTAGTGGACAACTTCGTCTCGCAAAAAAACGGTATTTAAATGGAGCAATAAAAGTAATAAGACAGCCCAAGTGTGTACTGCTCTATGTGTACGGTCACCTACGTCGGATCCTGGACATCAGGACCCGCTAATTGTCTCAGTTTTATTTTATCTTTTCCTTCACTGCAAGTTTTTTTGGGCGAAAACACAAACTTGGTTTAATTTAACTAATATCTTCACTTGTGACATTGAGGGCACAAAGGTTGGCAGCTGTGCGTCTGCAGTTTCGCTACATAAGCAAGTTATGCCATTAAATATTGTCAACTGTTATCCTGTGCAATTGGTTCTGTACTGGTCTCTTCTTGCCACCAATTTTGACGCCAACATTTTATATATTCTCAATTTGGTATGGCGTTTGACTTTCAGCAGATGGCCAGCGGAGAGAGTAATAGTCCCGTGCTAGCCACTTCGCGGGTGTTTGCAAATCCACACATATCGCCACCAGTGCTCACCCCGAAGAAGCGCGTCCTTTCTCCCCTTCCTTCACCACACTCCAGACAACCGGTGCCTGCATCCAATGAACCCGAAGCAGACTCTACGTCGGTCGCCCTCGATACGCAAGAACCTCCGAGTGGCTCCAGGAACCTGTGGAGAGTCCTCCTGTCGAGATTAGTGGAAGTCGGGGATAACTTTGCCCAGCTGTCTGACCTCTTCTGCTGCACACTGGCTCGAATCAAGAACTCTCCCGCCACTAGAAATAAATGGATGCAGGATCTCACTAATGTATTCGCACATATAAAAGGAGTTTATAGTTTTTATTATTGGAGTTTTGGTTTCCTGCTCCCTTTTCAGCCTACTGTCTCAGGTTTGACTCTGTTTCTTCCTTCGTGTATCGTGTTTTTATCGGCAAATGATTGCCCAAAGTTTTACATTAATCAGCTTGCAACAGAAGTTCACACAAGGTTTCCGGTTTAAAGTTGACATTTTTGTGTAATCAAAAATAATTCCGCCACTGCCATAGAATTCGGTCCTTATTGAAATGACAAAGGCGGTGGGTTATGTAGTCGTATGGAAAGCATGTTTTTGTGACAACAAATAGACTCCTTGGTTATATCTGAGCCCATTTTTTAGGAGCTCCAATCACCGCTTTTGTCTCCAAAACGTGGAAAAACAGGTTCGTCTGCGGTAACTCTGGTAGACCTTTTCGATGGCCTCCCGAAGAACTCTGCAGTGAACTACGCTTTAACTCTTGTCCGTTCATGTCTAACTCCTGGCATTTCTTCATCTGATGCGAAGGTAGGCTTTTGACTACTCACTGGTGCTCAAGTTTTGTTTCAATTGCTATATTTTGTTTCTTTATCCGAAATCTCAATCTACTGGAGGGGATGTATGTTGTGGAATTCTTCGAAACCAGTAAACTTAACTCTTACATGCTGTTTTATCTCCTACTACCAAATGTGAGGCCTCTTACAGCATCTTAGTGTTGTTACAAATTTATTTTAAACGCAATGTGTATTTTGATTTGATGTTTTTGTTTATTCGAGAATTTTTAATTGTATTTAAAAGTGCTTTTTGGTTTTTTTCATTCTAAAATAACGGTTTTATCATTGTTTTGTCTTTGACTACTCAAAAGTAATCGGATTAGATGTTTACGGCCATCATCGCTCACAGTTTTTGTGTGACTTGTCACCCACTTCTGTGTTTTACTAACTTTAGCTAGCTGGTCGTTATCAGAAGTCTATGGAACTCTGCATTGGTCAGTTCGAACAAAAGGGCTTCAGCAGTCCCCTGATGGAACTCCTTCTACTAAGGCCACTAAAATTGCTCACAACCAAGAAACCTGCTGAACGAATCGCTAAGTCCAATGAGCCGTTGGAATCTGGCGTCTTGCTGTTGATCGCTGATCAGCTCCAAATGAGGTACTTGAACTGGAAGTCTTGTTAACCCACCCATGCCAACAATTGAAGCTTCTTATCTTTCTGATTATAGTCAATACTTTATGCAAGGTCCAATGTTTGGTTTGGTTTTCCTGGTTGCTAGTGTGAGCTCGTTTTATTTTAGGGAACGAACATATTCTGTTACTCCATGTTGACTGTCCCACGTTAGAATAATTTCCTGTTCTCTTTCACTTTACATGAGAATTTCACATTGCCGATAACGTATTTGGCCTATATTTCATGCGACCAAGCAATTAGTCAGTGCAATGAAGTAATCTACGATTATAGCAATGGTGAAATTTTCTGAATAATTCGGGCAGATTTTTTCCACCAATTGCCTATCGAATCGAAGTAAACTACTTTGCTTTTAGTTTATTTCATATTCTAATTAAAATTTGCTGTCGTGTCACCTGCAACATTTAAAATGGCAAGGATATGCAGTTGAGTGGTTGTTGTTGTGTCCGTAATGCGACAGTAAAGGAGTGTTATGAAAGTTGTTGCGATCAACTTAAAGTGGTGAAAGATTTATCAAGTAAGCGTGAGGACACGGGGTGCGATCCCTAGTCACGCTAGTTTTTAATGCGTGTTGGCTGAAAAGCGTCCCTTTCACTGAGCAACTTTGGCTGTGTGCTTTTGCGTCACCACTGTAACTGCTGATTTCCGAAAGGCAGTTGATGTTAAGTTGTGCTGTGATGGCACAACTTAAAACGTTGCTAATAATTAACTTCTACGACCGGAAACGCCGCATAATTTCATTTTTATATTCTTCATTTAATCCTGAAACGTTTTCCAGTTCTTTAGAGCACCAGATGGAGTCATTGAGTGTTTTTGGTGCGTCCTCTGCTCTCTCCCCATCGACAAAAGCTCGTGCCCTGCTTGGTGTATCAGGTTCACATTCCGTCTCAGTTGATCCCCCCACTCACCACCTTTGGACAGTGATGCGATATTTGATCTTCGAAAATACCGCGGAAATTAATAAAAAGAAGTACTGTTTACTTGAAGAATTAGTTCACAACAACAGCGCGTCTATTCTGCGCGTCTGTCTCCATAACGTGTTACAGGAGGATGTCAATGCCGTCAGGTAGGTCATGGCTGAGTCATTAGGCTAACGCGAGCGATGCATTTGTAATTCCCCTGGCCTAGTCCGGAACGAATGCCCTTAATGTCGCATTCTTACTGAATCGCATGCCTTTAAATTGTTAAATGTGAGCCCAAATTCCACGACCAGCTTGGTACCATGGGTCCCTACCAAAGCTCATACCTGTGGCTGGTTTTGTTTATGCGTTTGATGTTTAGCTTCGTATATTTGCTACTTACCAAACTCTGAATGTATTAATATCAGTTGTATTATATGAAAAACAGTTCTGTGCATTTAATATAGTCTCTTTTCTGCTTGTTCTCATTGTCTTTCTAATCGTCAGTTGTCCATGCAGTGCCGCATTGAGCTTCTTATATTTTAGTTCACATTGCATTGACCATTTATGTAGCGCCTACTACGAGGTCATACAAAATGCTTTTACCTCCAGAATGTTCTCATCACATCTTGGAAAGCATATGTTGGCTTTTGCCTGCATAACGAGAGCCTATTTTGTTGGACTTAGGAGATGTTGGATTAATGATATAAAACTGTCTGTAGTAGCGACTAGCACCAGGCGCCTTTAAGCCAAACATTAGTGAACGATTTCTTCTATTGGTAGAACCTGTACTTAGGCTTGCCTCCGTTTACCAGTCCTTGACGTAACTGGTTTGCTAAACGTCCGTGTTAGTGATCTGTGAGTGGAGCAAAATTTGTGGTCTCTAGTGCGTCCCGAGCCCTTTTAGAATTCGTGTTTTCTGGAGTATTTCGCATTGCATTTATGTCAATCTAAGCACTAACTCAGTTCCGGCTCGCAATTGTTTTGGTTGCCACTTGGGGTCTTGCCCTGAAGCTGCCAAATAGGAATTGAATTCTTGCATTTATTTCACGATCAGTTTCCCCGGTGTAATTACCAAAGCGGTATCATCCAAATGTCGAGATGGTTCAATGCAGTCCTCATTCAGCACCCTATTTGGATCATCATCAACATGTGTCAAGTTTTTTTTCCGCCCTGTAATTTTAGCTCATCTCTCGTCTTGGATTTTGTTACATGTGTTCTAAATTTGCCCGCATTTTCATCCCCCGTCCCCTTGGCTGAACCTCACATGAGGCCCGATCCTGGCTCCGCCTACACTCTTTTTCACCGTCTCATGGACCCAATCGAGGGAATGCGCCTGATTGCCCACGTTCACATCGAAGCCTCAGGCGTTTCTGACGTAAGCGCATCTTGTTTTCCATTAGTCTTGCGTTGCACACTGTTTAGACTCATTCAGCTTTTTGCTGGTCCGAGTTCTTTGTATTAACGTTTCAAATTGGTCGCAATCTTGTAAGCGAATTCAATTCTGTTTGATGCAACTAATTTTCTAATTTTTTTTCTATCGAGTTGGCCGCGACAGCCCCCGCTCACCGTTAGAATTTTGCTAATACTTATATGATGACGACTGAGATATGTGTCTGATGTTCATTTTTTGGCTGTCTTTGTTTTTCGTAATTTTATTAAGTTCTAACTCATGCCCTATGTATTGTAGAATATGTTTATTTTGCCCGATACTTACAAATGGATCTTTATCTAAAACCACTTTTGTTATAGCTTCGTCGTGATCAGACGATTGCTGGTCGTGCCCCGCTGATCGACTTGGCTCTTCAATGCTATCTTCAACCATGTCTACATTTCGTGGAGTACTTGGCTGGCTTCCTGGATACTCTTGAATTACTGCCTTCAGATTTGGCTCAACCTGCACTGAAGGAGGAGGGAAACCAAACGGTGGCTCGAAGGCTTCTCTTGTGTCTTTACCTTCGAAGACCGGGTTTGATTGGTTCCCTCAAAAGCCACAATTCACGCAAATTCCTAAGAAAACCGGTCTCATCTGGGGAAATCCCTTCGTGTTTCGAATACAAGGAAGTGCGTCTTGTATAAGATTTACTACTTGTATTCCTTAATGTATAAAACCAGGTTTTATGCATGCATTTTATGCGTTAAATAATTACTTTTCGTCATACTCGCTCCGACCGAAGTTTTGTAATTCAGCTTGGCCTCGCTTGTACACACAGTTATTTCCCACCCTGCAAATAAGCAGTTTGCGCAAATTTTCGACGATCATTTTGTTTGGATGATTCAGCAAATCTAACTTCCATCTAAATTGGAAAAATGTGGTTTATGACTCCATCTCTATATCTATGTCTAACATTTTAAGGTCCGAAGGCATAATATAAGTTGTAAAATGTTGCCAGATTCTCCTTTTATTTTAGGTTAGCCTTCTCGGTCCTTCTTTTTTAATCGGCCTCTCAGGCAGTTCTGACGTCGTTCGCGAGACATCTCTTCTCTCCAGCCTAGCACTGGCTGTCCACCACCCACGCCTATGTCTTCGCCTTCTGCCCTTAATTTCCTGTCTTTCTCAAGGTCGTTTGGACACGTCTTTGGCCGTCGGTAGTTCCTCTTCAACTGGTAACCTCTCATGGGGCAAATTTGTCGCTCGACACCATATCGATTTTTACACCGGCCTTTTACAGTTTATGGAGGTGCTTGCCTTCACTAAGGACCAGGAAGGTACTGGTGGCGTGCTCTTCTGTGCAGAGGCCGAAATGTACATGTGCGTTTCTAGACAAACAAAGGTCTTTTAATTTGTTGATTTTACCACACTGCAACACCTAATGGGCCTTGTACTTCGGCTAAAATACTCCAGTCGTTCATATTGATCGGAGTCTTTAAAGTTGTACAGGCGATTGTGAAACGACTAACGTGTATGCTAGTCATCATTGCCCGTTTGCCTTTTTGTCTAGGATTTACCACAGCATTCGATTTGACTTCTTGCACTTCATTTCATGTAATCTAGGCTTGATTTTAATGTCGATGTTGTGTAAGATGTTGGTTGTTAGAATTTTTTAACTGACTCAGCACCATACCTGGGACTGGTTATGCTTAGTGCTCCTACCATCTCGTATTGTAATGGCTTTGCTGAGTATTTTAAATGCCAATTGCCTCGAGTCGGCGTTACAAAATCCTAATCTGAATCCAAGATTTTGACTATCCATCTGCTCAAAATCCAGCTGAAGACATGGCATTAACCACTGTCACAATCATCTCACCCGCCTTTCAGGGCCAGTGTCGATGGCGTTTTATCGAGCCTGATCCACGTTGCTGCCTCCTATCCAAATCACGTAACCAAAATGGCCGGTGGTTTTGGGAACCGTCTTTCTCGCCTGCTTCAATCATATGCGAGGCACGCCAGCTGGGCTCACAGCGAGAACGGGCTTTTCGGTGCTGATCGTGGAGGCGTTGGAAGGGACGGGAAAGCGCGCGGCGAGGGCAACCGCACCCGACTGGAGATGTTGCGACTCGCCAACCTCTTTCACGAACTTTCTTGTCTGGTACCCTTGATGGCTAATTATTCGGTGCCGTCTGGCAGACAGACTTTCTTGCCACTCCCACTTACTCCTCCGAAAACCCCAAAACACTGCAACGCCGCGGTGCTGAAACCTTTTATCCAGCGTCTCAGGCATTCAGCTAATTTCGTCGGTTAGTTCATTAGTTATGGCTCGTAGGGTCGGCTAAAGTCCGCACCCAAGATTAAACAAGGAGAAACTAGCAACCAGACGAGATTCTTAAAAGTGACTCTGTGAACCCCTTTCTCTGGTTACTTTTCATCCTTTTGCTCTTAAATTCTGCTGACATTAGACGTCCATCGCCAGCACTTTTGTGTTTTCCTTTACTGACAAATCTCTGACGTACCTTCAGCTATTTGGATATTTGTAACGTATTTACTCAATGAAGTTTAGAAGTTAAGCATTTCCTGTAGCAGAAATATAGAGTAATTCTTCCCACCAGTTGATAAACGCTCATTGTTTGTCACGGCTGGTTCTATCACATTAAAGAGATCTTTTGATCACAATTTTTTAATCGGTCACCGTTTCAGTTTTTCCATCCTTAAGACCAGGATTTGAATGTCGTAAACAGTGGCGTGCATATTGTCATTTAATCTCCTCCAACTCTGGAAAACTAAGTAGATTAAATAAGCCACCATATAGAAGCGCATTTTTTTCATAAATGACCAATAGGCCAAAATATTTAATAGTCTTGATTCACCTCCGATGCGATGACGTTGCATTTTGAAGAGCTCCCCTGAATTCCTTTCGTGAACCTCGGTTTATTTCGTCTAGCATTAAAAAAAAACAGTAGCTCAGCCATTTTATGGTTAATTTAGCAGGCCAACCACAGGTATTTATCGCAAAGCGCCCGGCTGTGATTTTAAGAGCATCATCATTTGTTCAAAACTCCGAAATGTGGGGCAACGTTACTTTCGATCGTGAATGCAGGGATACAAATGTATTAAAAAGTCTCGGAAACACGGTTTTTTGCTTCTTGTGTTAATGTCGTGACCTTTTCGGCACTCTTGATCCTGGCCCCCGTAGTCCCTGTGCTCATTTTCCATAAACTCGACTCAATGCGAGCAACTATTATGAATGAATTAGATTTCTATCCAGATTTGTTGACAAGATGCTTTGCCCCGTAACTCCTAAACAAAACTAGGTTGAATCCTCTTGCAGACTGGTTTCACAGACTGGCAAATTTAATGCAGCACAATTGTTGTATTGGAAGGTCGCAACTTAAGAAATTCAATGCTATTCGTTCTATCGACCAATTTTGTCATGTAGTTGTGTTGAGTATGCCTTTTTTATCTCGTTTTTCTCAATTTATAGAGGTTTACACTATTCTTTCTGACCTTGACGCACTGACAGAGCGAAAAACAGAGGCTCTCGTTTACTTCCAGGTAAGTTATTGTTTCGTCAGCAATAAGCTAAAAGTAATTGTCCTCCTGCAGCATTACTGGGTGGTGTAAGACAGTTTGTCTGTTATAGTAGAACTTTTCCTTTTAATTTGGGGTCTTCCCTTACACCTACCTATCACCCATTTACCGCAATGAAAATTGTGTATGACACTAATCTGTGTAAAAGTTACCCTAGATTTTGCATAGCCAAAAATCTATACGCCAAAGCATACCAAGTGAAGATTAAACAAGCGCAATGTTTTTTTGAAAAATCGGACTTGCTCTTTATAGCCGGTATCTGTCAATATTTGAGGTTGCGAGACCACTAAATTTAATTCAAAAATTAATCCTTGAGGTCGCAGCTGTACACTTTTTAAATCTCACATGGCCTTACTAAGGTCACAGCCCAGTCACATTAGCCTGTTCCGACGTCGGTATCGTCGTAACACGCCTTGCGAAATCACTAATCTGATGACTCAGAAAATCTTCATATTCATATTCATACAGATGATATCACGATAAAGCTGCGACAATAGTTGGTTTTCAGTCATGGTTTACCGTGATAGTTTATTTTTAATGAACGAGCTGGCCTAGTTCAGGCTATAGATTATTTTATAGAACTGCGGCCTTTCTAATTTTGTAGGCGGAACTTGAGCACCTAGTCACGTGCCCTCAGCCGGAGTGGCAAAGAGGCGTCACTGTCGACGAGAAACCCAAAACTTCTCCGTCGCTCTTCCCTCTCCTGTTCAAACTCCTCTTCCGTCTACTTCGTCACAGTCCGGAGAAGGCAGGTGATAGCCTCTTGAGCTTCTTTCTACCGTGTCTTTCAGGTCGTGGCACCAAGACAGACGTGTCGGCGGCTCTTGATCACCTACCCGAGGCCTGTCTATTGGCTCCGCATCTCGCCCCGTGTTTGTTGCATGCGGCAGCGTTCCTTGTGTGCACCAAAACGAACGCTAATCGCTCCAGGATCATCAGTTCCGTTTCACAGGCCCTGGTGCGCATGTCCCTCGATGGAGTTAATGCCGCGTGTATTGAACACGCTGCTTCTGGGCTATTGAACACAGCCACTGGACCCAAATTTGCTGTTAAATAAAACCTTTTCTGTTATTAATTTGCCCTTTAATAATTATATCCTGAAGTTGGCTGTAGATTATACATTGGGTGATTGCAAATGTTCGTGCTCGGCTTTCGTAGGTGAAAGCTGAATGCACTTTTAGACATACTGATGTTCCTATTGCAGTCGCATTATTAACTAACGGGTTTTTAGTACATCGTGCGTCTTTGTCGTTTTAAAAGAACTGTTTAGGGCTGATATTCAAAATAGAAACTGATTCATACTTTGTCAATTTACTTGTAATGCATTTACTTGGGTCGGCTCCTCCTTTGACAACTAAAGGTGGTTTAGTCGATTTCACAACGTTAACTTTAATCTAGATGTCATACCTAGCTCTGGATGACCTCCCGGCAAAGAAGGTGACTTTATCAGTGATGTAGTGAATAATAATAATGAATACATTACAGCTGAAGAGATTGCTGAGCGTCTCAATGTTTAAAATTTGAACGCAGTTCATCAAGCAAAGCAATTTGGATACGTTTGGAAAATCTACATCCGAGTTCTCCACGTTTTGACCGAATGAAACAAAATGAATCGCGCTCCCAGCCATGGATCTTCCCGCGTATTTTTAGGTCGTGTCCGCGAACGGTAGGGGCCTGACCAATTGGACGCTAACACGTCAGACTGATGGGTTTTTTACGCGCACAGGGACAGTCCGAGGTGCGCGCTGAAGTTCGTCGGAGTGGTGGCGGAGCTAGGGCCAAGACACCCCACAGGGAGTCTGTGGGGGTGAGTAAAGATGGGAAACGGCCAAGCGTGGAATGCAGTGACTGTTGGGAATCCACTGAATGCATGGAATTGGAAGACCAGAATCTCTCACAAAGGCTGAATTGAATCCAATAGATGATATGTGTCTGGGAAGAAAAAGATTGTGGTGGAATAATTGCTTCGCTAGTTTTGTCCACGCATCAAAACCTCAGTCGCGAAGCAGTACTGTGAGCGACTCATCCGACTCAATGTTGAACTCCATGCAAACTTGGTAAGTCGAAAAGTCCCCATCTTTCACCCTGGGTAAAAACGTGTAAGCACTCAGCATTTAAAGGAGAAAAATGACAGCAAGGGATTCAAGGAAAACGTATGGATACCGTTAGGGGAAGAAAAGTGTTCACATGTTGGGACATATTGCAGTACTATCTCAGCTACTTTTCGAAGCGACACTGCTGCTGCTATCCGGATTAAGTTTCCTCAGTATAACTGTACTGATGTGTGAGGCTTGAGTATTACGGGGATCTGATTTATCGTATAAAATTTTAATGCACGTCACTTTTCCAACCGAAAAAAGAATATTGCCGGAAGATAAAGTGCTGAGATGAGTTAGGGAATTCTAAACTTTTTGTAACAACCGGAAGGCTTCCCCAGTGTAAGGCATATTAGGACCTTTAGCCTGTCGTTAATTTCTTCTGGCTACAATTACTTCGGCACGATGGTTATCTGTTTAGACGAACTATGGAAGCGTCCTTGGTCGAATTCACTTACATCTATTTCATTTAAGTAGACAACCTATAGGGTGCTCGTAAGTACATAACAAGGGATATAGAATAATGGGAGTGGCTACACATAGTAGCGCTTAACTTTTGTGGAAGAAGTTGAGACATTACGCGAAATGGCTGGTATCGACGTTTGGTTACTGCACCAAAGAAGCAAGGGGGCATTATAACTAGAACGAATGAATGCAAATCCAATTCTAGCCATATATTTGCCCCAGTTCCCCAATCCCATTAACAAAGTGAGTTCCACGCAATGGGTAAGTTGATTAGATGGATCTGTAGCGAATCGTGTCGTTTCATGTCCAATAACCCGGTCGTCGCAGCTTCCAACACACGTTCCCCCTTTTACACAGCGTACCCGTCAGTCACGTGAGGCCGCTGGTTCATTAACCCCTCTGCATGTACTACCGTCACCCATTTTAGTCATGTGACCTCACAGACGCCTGTGTTTATTTTTACATGTCCACTCAACTTTAAAAGTACACGACACAACTTTGTCGAACTATCTAGTAGACGGTCGTGCCTGCCATCTTGGGACCTATTTTTCCTTCTGGGTTACTTCGTGTGGTAAAGGACTTCAACAGATCCTACACTTTGCCAAATAAAGCCAATTCCGCTGGAAACCGCTGCTAGAATGATTAATACTCCGTAGAAAGTCGTGGTACAAAGGCAGTGTCTACCGTGTACATAAATGGTCCAGTTCTATCTAATTTCCTTTTATTAATTAATTTTGCATGGCACCCTGGATGATTTGAATCCCATTTCCACAGAGATTATAGTCCCGAAACAGATATTTTCTTGACCATTCATATATTTCTAGTAAAAATCGTGTAAGCGATATTGCTTTCGCATCAAAATGATATTTCAGATTGTGAGCACACGTGTAAGCCTCAAATGTGTAAGCGATTTTAGGGAATGTCCAAATGGAGTCCACTAGTTGATCGTGTTTTAGGATGGCCTGTCTGAGGAAGCAATCACGGCCACTGGGCCGGGTCACACTAGGTTTAACGCCGCACTCCAGCAACCTGCTTTCAGTTTAACTTATAAGCTCAATCGCTCTGGGTGCGTGGGCGGGCTGCAACCTGACAACCAATGAGCGGACGCACTTGGAGATGAGGAAAATTAGGCAGAGCTGGTTGGGCGGTGTTGGAGACACATTTAGAATACGGACGCTCGCTTCAGTTGTCCGGGTGTAATTGAGCCAACCGACTGGATGATTCGGCAGACGTACGAAGGTATGAGAATTTGAACTTTCCGTCAATGCGAATGCATTTTAACAAAATATGTGTGACCACTATGACAAATCAGATTCGACCTTGTGTAGAAGTTGACTAAATGAACCAGTTGCATACACTAATCTGACTTTCGGCGCCAAAACAATTTTAAACATCGGTTTAGAATTCGTGCATTTTATTTCAGAATATTATGGAACAGTAAATACAATGAAATCTAATTAATCTAGTGGTAGTTGTATTCTGATTTCTGGACTAGTTAATGCAAGTTTTGAGAGCATTTTTTTGGAAATAGCATGGCATTTAAGCAACACTACAGTTACACAATGCTTCTATCGTTCAATCTGACATGCAGACTGTTGGTCGCCACCAATCATTGCTAGAATAGTGCTGACAGAAGATAACCTATAGTGGTTTGGGTTTAGCACCACCTTACAACCCCCCTGTTAACAGGCCGTGACAACCCGAGAAGAGTGGAACAAGAGACAACAGAGGCCACGGTCGTTTATTGGTGTCAGATCAGCCAAGTGTCTTTGTGCGTATGAGTACGCGTGCGTAACAGGCGAATACTAACAGAAGCCAATAGCAGAAGGGGTGAGTCATTGGTACACTCGGGCCATGGTAATGCATCACTCACACGAGGTGGTTGTCTGTCCACTACGAATATTCCTCGCTGAGAGTATTAGCTGTGAAACAGTAAACGCCCAAAAATCACTGAACTGAATCAGCAAAGCGGACAATGGATCTTAAGGGTAGGTGGGATCGCTTCCTGGATTGACTTGGCTGGCGGATACGGGAAGTGGTGCGCTGTCGTCGTTAAGGCTGTCTAGATGATATTTTATCCAATCTCAGTGGGTGGTTGGCTACACGTTAGCTGCTACACCAGAGGAACTGGTTCGATTTCCCGCTCCGCGGATGAGACACTCGTAGATATTATCAGCCATTTCTGTAAGCTTATCCAAATGTGCGCTAGAGCTTTGGAACATGGTAATTATGTTCATGTGTGCCAAGAAAGTTTTAGTCCACGTTAACCTTGATAGTCCTAACAAAGAGGCGCATATGCCGAAGGAGTTGAGAAGAAAACCTGTCAAATAGTTCGATCCCGGAAAGTAGGTGTCGAAGACTGGCCTTATTCAAGCTGATCAATAGTGTGAGGGCAGCACCATTCAAATTTCCATAGAGGTTTTCAGAAGGCACTGTTCCAAGCAAGTCGATAACAACTGTAGCAACATCTCTCGGTAGGCATGCAACAACATGGAAATATTTGGAGAACTGGGAGGTAGTCATCTGTTTGATAAAACGGGCCTCAGGTCACATAAACCAAACTCGGACGTCGGAACTGCACGGGAGAAAGCTGATTGAAATGCTGTTTACCGAACAGAGGTTCACAACAATAGGGTCACTCATTGTCAACAGAGGAGTAGTGAAAAATACGACGGAGATCATCAATCAACGGAGTGAAAAATAAAGTGGTTTCGTCACGTCGGGTTCACAAATGTAGTGGCTTGGTTTTAGCACTACCTTACAATCCTTTAGTTAGCAGCCCGTAACAACCCGAGAAGAGTGAAACAGACGACAGAGGACACGACCGTTTATTGGTGTTAGACCAGCCAAGGGTCTTTGTGTGCGTCTGTCCACTACCAAACCAACCTGTTTTAGTTTCACTTATCGGACCAACCCTTAAAGTATTGCCGACGGTTAGCCTCAAATTTCTTCAAAATACTTTTAAAATGCCTTAATTGACAGGTAAATAGGTTAACTGACACGGCTTGCATAAAAATTCTGCAAATTTGGTCGACCATCAAATTCTTTTTGTTTGATTTGCCATACCTGAAGAGTTTATGTGTATGAGAACCAGTTTGATTATGTGGGAATAATGAGCTGTCTTAGTCCCAGTTATTAATCAAGATTTTGCTTCTTTTTGTAATGGATTGGATTATCGTGCTGGAATAAGAAAAAGGCGGTTCTTTTTAGGCTGGAAACGATCACAACCTTGACTGATGATCTGAAATGTTGACAATTGTCAGCACCTAACTTATCTGACAGATATTTATTTACCCATCTGGATATTATATTTTTGGATCTTCGAGAAAGAGTTTCTGTCCGTGCGAAAATACTCTGGTCATGGGATCCTTGCATAAATGCAGATTATTTTTTCATGCACAGCACATTCTGCAGGCCAAATTTTATTTAAGCATGCTAAATTCTCTAAATGAGAGCATCAGATAATTTCATTTCAGAATCTGGTGTGTGGGAATTGCATTTTAAGAGTTTGGGAGTTAATATCCATTGTTGATTTAAAATACTAAAATGATTTGTGACTTAATCAGGCAACAGACAAGCCATTTAAGCTTAGGCAATTGTGTTATGCAATTAGATTCTTGAGCTATTCATGAATTTGTGCTATATTTTAATTTTTGTGAGCGATCTCTAAGATGAAGTGACCTTTATTCGGCCTACTTGCGTTTTAGGCAGAGATTCGGCTCTGATGGGAAATCCAGGTGCCATCGCTGGTTTCATAGTAGGATTCACCTTACTCATTTTAACAGTGGCGGGTGCTACTTACACTCTCATTTACAAACGTCGTCGTACGGTCTGCACTTCCCGTAATTTGTCATCTCAGGACATTCCCCGGAAGCTGAATTTGGGCAAAGACCTGCTTTTGGATGAACCACATTCCTTCACGCGTTCCCAGTCCGTATCTTCGGTCATTGGAGAGACCTCTTCGCGCCACCTTGCCAGCCCTGAAAAACCACTTAATGACAGGAACTCTCATTCACAGGCCGTCAGTGCTGTTTCGGGGTTGGGAAAAATCCAGTTCGCAGTGGCCTACGACAGCGTAATGCAGGAATTACAAATATCTGTGTTACGTTGTGTTGAACTCCCACAACTTGATTCAAGCTTGGGTACCGTGGACTCATATGTGAAAATGGAGTTACTTCCAGAGAAAATTCACAGAGTTAAAACGAGGGTCGTCAGAAGTAACAGGAACCCGTTTTTTGGAGAGGCATTCACAATGAACCGGGTGTCGCTGGACCAACTGTCAGCCGCTTCGTTGCATTTCATTGTGGTTGGTTTCGATCGCCACTCACGGGACAGCGTCATTGGTGAAGTTGTCTGTCCTCTTAACGACCTGAAACTAAGTCTTTGCAAGGAGGTGACGCTGACAAAGGAGATTATGCGGCGCAAGTTTAATGTAAGTTCTGTGTTCATGATGGTGATCAAATAAGCTTGTCTAAAGTGCCTGCAGTTCGTTTGAGATTCCAGTTCGCAGTTGATTTGGTTTCTTAAGAACGCATGCCGACGTAAACGCTTTTTATGGCTCGTGTCTACCTAAAAGCTATGAATGGAGCTAATTTTGTGTTAGATGTATTGATACAGGGACGTCTGCCGCACTCCTCGCTTAATTTGTCTAGTCATTCATGAAAATGTATCTGTGAGATAGACAACCGCCGTTTCTCAATCACTGAATGCTGAGGCAATGTCAAGCAACTTCCAAGCCAATACCAAATGTGAAGTGGTTCCTTTGGACATGGACTATGGCCTCGTATTTCTTCCGTCCTGCGCTTACAAGCCTAGATACAAACATCCCCTTTTAGTAAAATTGTTTTAATCCAGTAGAGCTGTTACCAACCGCATATTAATTACGGCAGCTAAGTCAGTTATCAAAGTTTCATTTAGTCGTCATCGCCTCCATTGCAGACATAGAACAATTTTAACCACGAAATCTACTCGTAATAAATCGGATTAATTACGATTTAAATAACTATTATAAATAGTCTAACTTTTCCTAAAACGCTTAAGGTGTTGAGTTCATGCATTCAGTTTACTTTTAAAACCAATGTGTGCACGTGTGTGTGTGACATTCAGTTTCACAAGCACTTGATGTCTTGGAAAATTAGTAAAGACGCACGATCTCGAAGTTAACGATGACCGGTTTTCCGCTGTCTTAACCCATAGGCGTGGTCTTATAGGATAAAGCTGCGACACAAAATGAAAACTTAATTGTGCTTAAGTTTCACTTGCTATACGCGGTGAAAGAAATACCTATGTACATGGAAGAGCCATAGCGGAACCATTCATTTCTAGACTTTATACCAGGTCAGGGAATCTGATGGCGCTGGCGACGATCAATAGTTGCAGAAATTTTATGATAACCTCAAGTAAGAGCGTCGTGCACAAGTCAATGAAAGGAATGTAACCATGCTCCACGATAAGAGGAGGCAATGCTACCTAGAGTCATGGATAACGGCAATGGCCGTTGCTAGTTCACTTTGTTTCATCTACCAAATTTAGCACACCTAGTGACATTTAGGAGATGTAAATCCACACAGCTTGGACTTATTCTTCAAAGTGACAGTAACTAACTAAGCATAACGTGGAATGAAAAATAGACTGAAGTTTGTTGTGACTAAATGCATGACTTTGTTTTCAATCAACGGGGCTAATTTTGGCTCAAATGCTTGTTGTGGTGCGATAGGACACTCGACGCTCAGTGGATTGCGCAGAGACAAGAAACCAAAATCACCCGCCATTTGTTCGCCACCTATGCGGTGTCGCCGCGTGGCGCTGTACGGTGGGTTGGTTGCAATGACAAAACACATTTCATAAAACTCACGGCATTGCAGTGTAATCAGACCTCAACTTTAAGAACAGTTAACTCTTGTTAAATAACACGACAGTTAACAGTCTCTGAGTTACATAGAGCAAGAAGTGAGAGCAGGTGTTTTTCTAAAATATATCAAAACCGATTGATTGACTTAGGCCGGTGGAATTGCATGCCACAACTCCTAAACAGAGACAACGAGTCCTAGGAGCTCCACGTCGAAAATGTGGCTACGTGCTTCTTTTGTCTTTTTTGATTCTCACTACCATCGAGGACGTCGTTAATTAGAGTAAGGAAAAAACTTAATCCAGCTAAATGAAATTCTGTGACACTTGAGATTCATTAAGCAAACCAAGGTTTTTTAGCATGAATTCAAGTAGGTAAAACTGTTGCTTTAACTGTTGTAGAAATATCAGATGATTCTGCTGAATTTCAGCAATTTATTTGCCCCAAACAAAGTCGAAAAATAGGATGATATCTGGTGTTTTGGTACAGGATTGCGAACGAGTGGGGTTGATAGACCCAAAGTTCCATTATTACCACACAGAACTGGTCAGATTTGGGATTAAGAAGAGTGCAGTTGACCAATTATTGTTCAACAATCAGAATATTCCAACCTAAGACATTTGTTTCAAGTCATATTTAGATATAGCGTAAATTGTGTCTTCAAATATGTCAAACTTTGCTTTCCCGATAACTTTGATAAAGGAGCTCGATATACTTTTGTAGCCTAACGAGGTAAACACTGCTACTCGTTTGCAGAATAGTACTTTGGGCAGCTGATGGGACTGAAGTGATTAAACAAACTGGTACTAAAAATGGATCGAATCAATTTCACGATTCTAAAAGCTCAACGAACTTGATGACAGAACCCGAATTCGAGGCCTGGAGATTTCTATCTGTATGTGACAATAATTGGGATGTTAGTTGGTAAAAAGTACTTGGGGGTTAATTAAGAGTTCCCTTGTGTGGTGAATAACGACGGATGCGTCAAAGCTCGATTTAATCCAGAGGCTTACATTTGATGACCTGTCGTGTATTAGGAGGCAGTACATGACAAATTCCTTGACATCTATTGCCCATACTACTGATCCATTTCGCTGCCCAGTGAATTCGAGTGATCGGAAACCTGTATAAACTAACATGAACCTATATTGGTGTTGTTGTAGGCCCCAGCATGTGGTCTTGAACCACGCCGGGGCCACTGAATTAACCCTGGCCCGATAACGCTTCCCTGATACCCGCGATGAAGAAAAAAGACCGGAGAGGACATGGAAAAAACCGTTTACTTTAGAGCTCAACCACGTTGCCGTCGCTGTGTCGTGTGTGGGGTTTACGCGTGTGTATTTGTACCTCAGATGCGTGAATCAAAGATGCGCTAACATCAAGACCTGGGTGTGAGGATAATCCAAGTAAACGGGGGAGTTGAGGGTCCGCGCAGCTGGCGACATGCTGCGAATAGGGGAACCCTGTGTCGGAGGATGGAACAACCGGGTTAAGGAGTGTACATAAACACGATTCACAAGAGTGTCTCAAACCCCGAAAACTGGTGGTGGGTCTCGAATCGGGAAAGGATCGATTTGAAAGCAAGCTGATTTATTCTTTCGTATTCAAAAAATTAACCCCGGGTCATATTTCTTGTTTAACGGCAACGAGATCAAATTACTCATTGTCCACACGTTTTCCTTACGGAATCGATATTATATGTCTGTGTTTGTTTTTTTTCTTCAAGCAGCCTGCTGGCGGAAACCGGGGTTCATTGTTAATAAGTCTCTGTTATCTTCCTGCGGCCTGTCGTCTTACCGCGGTTGTTCTCAAAGCAGAGGGTCTTCCTACAGTTGATCTTGCCGATTCACCGGGTGAGATATTTTAATGTCCATCAAGTAAACTATTATTTTTAAACGTTTGCTCGGAGCCTTATAGACATAACGCCTACTTTATGGTTTTTAGCCACTTGAGTCGCTCTGGTGTGACCTATGTGCACCAATGCTCTTTTTACGGATTAGGAGAAGGCAAATCATCCCGCATCTGTTTACACATTTTAGTCCAGTCAGTTAATTGCTCAGGAATAAATCTAGTCTGTTACGCACACCCTGTTTCGGTCGATGACCATAGTTCAGTCGTCCATCGTCAGGTTGCACTTTTTTGTGGACACCTGAGGTTGTACTACCAAATGGCGGAATCAAAACGTTTACTAATGCTTTGAATTTAAAGTAGTAACGAAAATCTTGTACGGCTTGAAGGTAGAGGACTCATGGTCCAAAAATCGAATAGCTACTACCAATTCGCAGCTGTTTGTGCCTCCACTCAAATGCTGCCCACTCGGCCCTCTAGCCATGCCCGGGCGACACCAGCATCATAGCCACACGCGCACCCACAGACGTAACCCAGTACCACGGGCGTAATGCGCCAAGATAGGGTCGTCTAACGTCTTCTTGCCATTTCCTATTCTCCGCAGTCCCATAATTTCACCACCCAGTGACTCCGACAAATCCAAAACAAATCCTTAAGTCCCCTATTTTTCGCAAAACCATGCGAATAAAGTTCAGGTTGTACTTGTAAACATTCCAATTACAGTAGAAGAACGGCATTTAAATATCATGTAAGCACAGTTCCTGGGAGCAGAGAAATAGTCCTCAATTTCCTCAATTACTCTCAAACTAAAGCCAATTTCGTGCATCTCCAGACCGATTTTCAGTGCATGAAATCATCTGTACCCCAAACTTTACTGTACTTTATGGCAACATTTCCACCTATTATAGATCAAGAGCGTTGCGAGGAAAAAACAATTTACTGCGAAATATAAAATGTCTGAGAGAGCTGGGAATTGATTTGCACAAGCTGTGTTTACAAATTTAATTTTTTTACTGTTTTTCAAAAAAAAAGCAACCTAATTATCCTGTCTGACCATCTTTATCGATTGTGGCGCTTTCCTAGATAATTAAACCACCTATCTTGTAATCTCTTTCCATGTTATTGGTGTTCATGAGTTGGTAAATGTCGACACATTGTGAAGCCTTGGCATTTCCAGCTTTGGCCAAATGGGAAATGTTCAGACTGTCACACACAAATGAAATGTCTATAGCCTGTCCAGGCTACTAGAAATTTCAATAAATCACCAATGTTTATGCAAAACACTTCTTTCCTACCAAATAGAATTTACAAAAACGCATTCACAAGTATAAGTAGTACTGAAACGCGAGCTGGATAGCTTGCATTCGTATAATTGCAGGCTGCGAAACTCAGTGAAATGTTCATAATTTAGCCTATACCCTCAGTTTAAACTCAAAGTCTCACTAATCGGCGACGAAAAGCTGACCAGTAAGAAAAAATGCTGCACCTTAATTGATGACACACAGACTATCTTGGAAATCCGTGTATAAATAATTTGAAGCCGAAATGTACCAGTCTACGTAAATGAGCACAATGAAATCAGTTTAGAAATGCATTGATAAATGTTAACTTACAATCCCAATTTTGGGACCCGACTTTATCAAATAAATTTTAAATCAATATCGACTGCCTCTTTTTGAGGGTGAAAGTGTGTGAAACGCGAACGGGCATAAAAAGAAACCAATAGTATTTCCTCTGAACGTCAAGATTAACTAGCCTTAACAGCATACCGTTAGCCCTAATTGTTTATACATGTTTGCGAATAAGTTACACGAACAACGCATAAATTTTGTCTTGACAAGTTCAATTATGCCGTCTTTGTAGGAAATCCTTACGTAAAATTGTACTTTGTGGAAAATGACAGACGAATAGCAAAAAAGAAAACACACGTCAAGAAAAGAACTTCGAACCCAGTTTTCAATGAAGCCTTTGCTCTGGAGATACCCCTTCACGTGAAACTGGAGAACATCAAACTGGACTTCCGCATGGTTAATTGGGAAAGAGACTCGCCGAGTAAAGTTGTTGGTCATGTCATAATTGGTTATGGCGGCAATAAGCAAGCGAGGGAACATTGGAAGACGGCCATCGAGAACCCGCGGAAGCAGGTGGCCGAGTGGCACAATATCCTGGCCTAACTCACCACCGTGTCTGTGCAATCTGGGCTCTCATCACCCGACTCCTCGAACAGCAGTTCACGGTCAGCGTATCCGTGCTTGTCCAGCACCTTCTAATCACTCGAGAAATGACATCCCTATTTTCTTGCATCCGACAATTCTCTTGCATTTGTTCGTTATACTGTCCGATTCTCTTATCGTATATGTGCGTCATAAATATGTGATGGTTTGTGAATCCTGTCATCTCGTGAGTGAGCTGTTTAACTTGTACACATCTAACTCCAAGTTGAATTAAATGGTTTCGGACACGTGCAACGGGTTTATTCATTTAGAATAGATACCTTGGTGATTTCTAGGTACTTTGTGGGCTTCCTTTTTTGCAGTTTACCAGTAGATTACTTCAAACGTCTTTCTTAACTCTGCGCTTGTGTTCAACTGATACAGATACTTCTACTAAAATAATTAAGAGTAGTAAATACGATGTTTCCAATTTTAAGATGCTATAATAACATAAAGCTTAAAATTTAATTTGGCTAACAAAGCTGGAAACCATGCCAATAATTGCTGATGGAAAGCTATGTTTGTCACATTCGATGTGTGGAGAGGCTAAGTGGAAACAGAAAGGCCCGAAATGCCTTCCTATCAAGTTTCAAGAAATCGGCCATCTAAATGCGTAAAATCATTTTCTTAACTGGTATGGCTTGTAGCTGCCACAACCGATTATGCAGGCTACATCAGACGACACCTCGGTTCTCATTGTCAGTATTATCACTACTTTTTAAAGATACAAATCATTGACATAATTAAACATCCCTGCACCAAGCTGTCGTATTTCCCTACTATTCTGTATGCAAAATTATGCAGAGATGAGTTTTTGCATTCCCATCCGCATCACTCTTGCACACACGCTTAGTTGTGTGTTTGCAGTATATGAAAAAGAGCCTTGCATGGGTTGTTGAAATTGAGAACAATGGTCAAGTAAGCAGACTGAATAAGGCTGTCAGTGTGGGATGTTCAATTCCAAACGAAATACGGACACCCAAAGTGTGGACTTTCTCTTTAATGCCCCACCGGAGCAAGTGAGTTGTATAAAGCATCAGCATGAAGTGTTTCAGTGTTCTTTTAGAAAAGACTGCGGTAGCTTGCACCTACAAGCAACCGTGAGCAAAGGATTTCTGCAAATGTGCTAAAAATTTGGTCGTAGAACACTTCGGTGTGCTACCTACTCTACAAGCACTTCAGTGAAGTGTTCTGAATACAGGGCATGTTTTGGTTAAAAATGAATTACCATTAAACCCCAAATACCAACAATATTACTGATACTAGAAAACTTACCTGGGATTTGCACATCGGACATGATAAATAATGGCGGTTTCTTTAAAAATATTTTATTATTCTTCCAGATATCATAAGAAAATAAACTCGATTAAAAGGAATCTTGTTGGGTATGAGGAAAAATTGTTAGACTTGAACGTGGAAAATTTGCAGCTGGAATCAAGGAACCAAAATCACTAACGTTGCTTCATAACAGATGTTAAGCACTTTGATTCCGTCTTCAGATTACAGTTAATTAGGAAAAATGTTATGACTAAACTTTTTTGAGAAGACTGCATTAACGCTATCGTCCGATCAAATTTCCCTTGAAATCGCTCACATTTTCACCTGTGTTATCTCTTTTCCAAAGGGATAAGTGCACGTTTTCAGTTGTCAGTCTTTGAGTACTCGTCTATGCCATTCTAAGGAAAAATTTCTGAAAGAAAGCTAATAATTGTAGATTCTTGAAAAACAAGTCGGCTAACTGACATTAATAAGATAAATGTATACTAAGTGCAGGTTGGGGCTATCAACATCCGTCAAGACAACTTGATTAACACAGCTCTGTCCACACAATTACAGTTAAGTCACGCTGCACCATTGTTCGCAGGATCAAAACATCACGCATTGTAAACTACTTAACGCATATAAAAGTGGACACATTTGAATTTACACTTAACTCTTGCTCAGACCTTCAATTAAGCCAGTGAAATTCTCCGCTGAAGCCTTTGACGTGCCAAACAAAGGGTCAACTATTTACGCTCTGGGGTTTTCACCTGCACGCCGAGAAAAGCCTAACAATGCAAGGGCCGGCAAGGGTTGTCCATGAAGCAGCTGAAAATTACAGCCTCTTGATCTTGCGAGTGAGCTTGCATTGATGACTCGGTTACCTCTGACTCATCCTCTACTTTGGCCCCGATAGTAGACTTACTCAAATTCGCTTACTCTCCCACCGAGCCTGAGTTTGTTCCAGCATTGTTGTTAAGGTTCCTCGTTAGTTACAATCAAGCAGCATTTACTTTAGTCCAAAATTAATTATGAATCTTTTCATGTAGTCGTTTTTCGATTGACTATGTAGAACACACTATAGTTGACTTTCCAACAGCGTCTTTCATCCAGATTTTTGACTGTTTCGGGCAATATGATTGCATAAATAGGCATTCCTTAAATGAATCTCGCGATCTCCTTAATAAATATGTCTGCGAATCGTGACACAGTTATAATGTTTTTCTGCATTTAATCGAAACTAGAAAGTCTGCATAGAAAGTACATCGGTGAGGTCATCGTACATGAAGGTATGAATAGAATAATTGTTTTGACAGACTTAAAAAATAGGAGTAAGTAAAAACAAGGCACTTAAAACGGAGTGTGATACAGGGTTATGCTTAAATTCAAGCTCAGAAACACAAAAAAGTGAGATGAATTTGGTTCGCTATAAAACCCTGACACCTAGTTATCCTTTACGAGTAATCACACTTGGTGTTTTTGAAATTATTGATGACAGCGCTTTTACCCTGACAATACAGTCTGAGTTAAAGTAACCTAGGTTCCGTCTGCATTGTATCAATGGAGCTTAAAATTTGCCATAAATAGATTATAACTTGTAGTGAAACAAAAGGGATTACGCCAAATAACTTCAGCCACCAAACTTCTGTAATCCAATTGCTGATGACGTGATATTGATAACATAAGTGTTCGACTTGACAATTACAATGAAAGACGAGTGAGATGAAAAGAAACAAGCTTGCTGTCAAATGTCTCCTTGCCAATCAAAATCAAGGTTAATGTCTTAAGGCTCAGCATAGTTAAGCAGAAGGTTAAATTATCTTGCACTGGATTTAGGCATAAACAGCTTATCGGTAAACGAAAAGAAGTGAATGGAAAGATTCTGGCGTTATGAATTTGCTACGACGTTTGCTGCTTTGCACCTTGAGTGCCCTTAAACAAAGAGAACACAGTCAATTAAGGGTAATAGTTTATGTAGTCGTAGGTTAAAATATGTTAAAAGGTAATAAACTAAAGCCAATGTAGAGAGGTCAATATTGATAAATCTAGAGATGTAAGCAAGATCAATCTCGGATTGAAGCTTTTTAGAACTCACAGGCCAAAATTTGTTTCGGAAACAAGTTTTGATTTAATAGATTATGTGTATTCCTTAACAGTACTTTGGATATTTTAAGGAGTGGCGTTTCACTCGGAAGAGGAGGAGACCAGATGCACACGGTGGCATATTCGATTCGGTTTGATGCAAGAACAACAAATTATCTTGCTCCTAGGTAAGTGTAATCCAACGACCCCAAATAAAGCAATATCAAAGTTATTTTTTTAAGAGAGGAGCGAACGCAAGTCCATTAGCGAATTTAAGAGATGCGTGACCTTAAAAGCTAGCAGTGAATTCGTTGCAGAGGCCAGAGCCGAAGTTCCTCGGTTATAAGAATTAACTAAAAACATGCTTCTTTTAGCTGATGGTGCTTAAAAATTGCCTTTGTCTCTTGGTACCAATCTCATTACCCAAATTTGAGACTATCCTAAATGCTGCTACATTAATCATACATTATCTCAAGTGCGTAGCACCAAACTCTTTTTACATTTTTACTGTAATCTCACGAAATATCATTTCTTGCCTCTTTGTGCAGACAAAAGCGAATGGAAGAACTATAATTTCTGAGAAGATCGCGGTCCTAGGGAAACACACCACCTTGTGATTAATGATTATATTCTAAACCTGCTAGCTACCCATGTTATCCTCTTGGTTCTTTTCCAGCAGGTGCGCCATTTAAACACCTCGGAATTTGCACGGCGTATTCTTACGAATTAAAAATTTTAGCTCCGCTTAAATTTTCTGTCAGGGGCTTAACGATACTTCTACCACATTGTACAACTTTGTATAAAAGAACTGCTTCTGTGGGCAATTTTTACGAAAAAATACTTATCGGTAACTGACATCTGTGCAGTACAAAGAGAAGAATGCTGAAATAAATGGACCTTCACAAAATCGATCGAGCAGCATTAAAGTGGCTAAGCGGATACCAATCCCCCGCATCATGTCGCAGAAAGTAATAAAACAAATTCTGCTTTAGGGTCACTTTTGTACAGGTTCATTTTTAGTTGCATGATTCTGCAAGTTGTTTTATGATGAAACCACTTGTTTAGCCTTCACATCAAGGATCAAATTAGTTTCCAACAGCTTTGATGATATCCGTGTTAAATTCTGTTGAAAGGTTTATTTTTAGTTATATTTGCTTTTTATAAGAATGATGCCTGGGGGTTAGGAACAATGCACTTTTAACCTACAGAAAAAAGGGTTGCGATCGATGAAATTCCAAGCTGCATGCAAATGCTTTTAGGACCTTGACAACACTGGAAAGTTGTCACATTTCCATGCAAGAAATACTTGAACAATTTAAATTCAGTGGCATAGCCATGTCACAAGTAGTTTTGGAGGTACAGGTTTATTTCACACTGTAAACTCCTTATACTGTGAATTAGACCCATATGGCAGACCAATATTTTTCAGGTGAATTAAACAATGATGGCTTCAATGTTGCAACCAAAGATTACTTTGAACCACAAAAAACTCAGTTGGGAGATCAGCAGTATAATATAGATGTTGCTTCCTATGAGTTGGTTAGCGACATTTTGTAACTATTTTAAAATTGCTGCCATTGATTTTACTTCATCGGAACCTGAGTATGTTTAACTTTTAG